ATAATATATTATATATAATATATAATATATAATATATAATATATAATATATAATATATGATATATAATATATAATATACAATATATAATATATAATATATAATATATAATATACAATATATAATATAAAATATATAATATATAATATATAATATATAATATATAATATATAATATAATATAATATAATATAATATAATATATATATTATATATATAATATAATATAATATAATATAATATAATATATATATATAATATAATATAATATATATAATATAACATATATATATATTATAATATAATATATAAATATATATAATATATATAATATATATAATATTATATTATAATATCCCCTCCCCTTTAAGGGGGGGGGTGGGGGGGGTAAAAACTGAAATATTTCACTTTAGGGGGGGTCTCCCCCCCCACAGACCTAGAAATATTTCACCTCCCTAAAGTGAAATATTTCAGCTAAAAAAATCTCGTCTATAATGGTCTCTGGGCGTGGTTGAATTCAAGGCTGAACGTCATGTTCTGAAGGCTGTTTGGCAAGTTCACTCTCTTATTTATTTCCTTGGAAACCGGCAGTTACGTATGTAAGTATGTATGTATGTTCAAAATGAAAGGGTGTGTCATGGTGTGTCATACCGTTTCTGGGCTAAAATGTGGCATCCGGAGGACCCCCCCCCCCACGTCTTTTAGAAGCCCAAAAAAACACGTGGGGGGGGGTATATTTCACGTGGTCAGGTGAAATATTTCTCAGAAATTTCATGCCTTACCCCCCCCGAAAAATTCCAGGGTTAAAGGGGGGGATATTATAATATTATAATATACGCAAAATCAACAAGTGGTGTGCAACAAACATTCCAAACATGCCATGGGAGCGGCATGTTCTTCAAACAGAATAGTGCTCCGTATACCATCCCTCAACTCTCTAGCACCCGGCCAAACAAGGCATTCATGGAAATCTAGGAAACTTACCCTCCGGTAATCAAACATCGCAATGGAACATCGAACATCTACCAATTTATAAATGATTTTCCCATTATTGTCCCATTAAAACATCCATTGATAGCGGGAATTCCAACTGCCATGCTTGATTACTGACAGGTATTTTCTGCCCAAGCTACCATGGCCCCCAGTTTCCTTGGCAGAGGCATTTGATCAGCGAACCTTCACAAACTTGGATGATGGGGCACTATTGTGACAGGAGCCTAGTTCTATGTTCCAATCATACATGGTGTAGATTTTTGTGTGGGATCTTATATACTCTTATTTTTTGCTAGAAACATCGATCAATTCCAGACAAATTCCATGTAACATCGAAACTTTCCATGCTATCCTCACTCGCCACCCAGCTTCAACAGGCTCCACAGACTCACGCTCTCCTTCGTCTCGTCCCCATCCGCCGGCGCGTTACTCGTTTCGGCCGTGGGTGCTGCAGGTGTCGTCTCCGAGGAGAAGGTCTCCGCAGCTTTGGAGGTGCTGCCTGCAGTGTGGTGACAATGTGTTGAAGAGGCTACCCTTTGGTAAACGTTTACAAAAAACTATGGAAAATCACCATTTTTAATGGGAAAATCCACTATTTCTATGGCCATTTTCAATAGCTATGTTAGTTTACCAGAGGGTAATTACTGTTTCGAGGAACGGCAGATGTGATGTAACTGTGTAGGGGTGACATAGTGTGACAGTATCCGGTAGAACTCAAACAAGCCAACAGGAGCAGATGTTACGGCAAGCATGGCCTCCTTAATGTCTGAGTCACGCATCCCAAAGCACCTTAACCAGGTAAAAAAAGATCGATACAAACCAAGACACAAGCACCGCAGGAATAGCAAGCTATTATAACAAATAATATATATATATATATTATATATATATGTTTAATGTTGTTATATCATATGTATATATATATATATATGTTTAATATTGTTTAATGTTGGAGGTGCTAAACATTTAAGCACTGCCTGTTTTCCATGACACCTTCGTTTATACAACGTTTCGCTGCGCCACGCTAGCGCCCAGGCGGTCACCTAAATAGGGGTTGTTTTTGAGATATTCCCATGATATTCCCATTAAGGTTGCTTCTTATACCCTCATTGTATCTTATTGTTGCGAATCAAAACATCAATATCCATAGAAAATTATTTTTTTGGGGGGGGAATGGTGAAGTTCCAATGATTTTTTTCCTCATCCAGTTATATCCCACGATATTCCATTAAATAGATTGTTCAGTCATCAAAAAAAATGGTGGTGGTTAAATTCCCGTCTCTAGAAAATCGCTGAAACTCCTGCGAAATGGTCCGATTTTCACAACTTCCCCAGGCCTGGAGAGTCAGTTCCAGTGCCAGGCTCCGTGCAAGGCTCCAGGGTGCAGTTCACGCGCATTTGCTCATCCTACGGGCAGCTGTTGAGTTACCCTTGGAGGAATATCCCGAGCATTACCCCATAGGATCCATGGTGCTGGTATATATGCTAACATGACTGGGGTATATTGATGGGATCCATGGCACACCATATATAGCAGCACCATGGATCCGTCATGGGTACTGGTTCATGTGGAAAAAACATGAAAAACCAATGCCATGTTTACCTACCATGACTGGGGGATGATCTGTCTATACCCATAAAAATGGTGATGACTTGCGGAAGGTTTATCATTGGGTGTACAACGTCTCTGGTAAACTAACATAACAATAACATAACTATGGAAAGATCCACCATGCTATTAATGGGAAAATCCACTATGTCTATGGCCATTTTCAATAGCTATTTTGACATAACCAGAGGGATACCCCAAAAATATCGCCATGAAAATCAATAGAATACCCTGAGCTCCGAGATGCTCCGAGATAGCGTTTTTTTACAAGAAAGAAACATCAATCAATGATGATCTCCATAGTTTTCCCATAGTTTTATGGAGAAACTATGATTATCAATGATGATCAACTGTGCTATTTTGAGTTTCTCCATAGTTTTAAAAAAACACTTTTAATGACAAAATCCATGTCAACCCACCGAGCATGAAGTACCCGGGATCCACTCCTTGCACTCCACTTGTTTCGTCACCTCTTGTCTGCGACGCACCATCACTGCATCCTGGGTTGCCACGCACGTCAGGTGATCGACAAAACCACATTATCCGATTGTTTTTGTCTAAACATGGAGAAAACTTTGGTATATCCCCCAACATGGATCAAGATTGTGCATGTCTAATCGAGAATATGAGGAATTTTACCAGAAGATTTGAGGTATATTTGAGGTAACGGGGGTAAAACAATGCCATAAACCACCCATGACTGGGAATGTAAACATACCACTTATTTATGACATTTTTTACCATACAATGAGTCCACCGCGGCGCCATCCTCCGCCAAGCCACGCCGCAGGTTGCGTCGCACTCACCTCGGGAATCTCTGGAATAAAGGGGGTTCCAGAACGGATCGTTTAGTTTACTCATGAAGGAACGTAAACTTACTGTTTTGGGGGCTCCTTATGTCATCTGTTCTCAAAAATGCCAATCAAAAATTGAAGTCTTTCACAAACATGAAGTTCACGCTTCCTCCAATGGGAAAGAAGTAGTTTCCATGTAGAACAACATGTTGACACCTACATTGAGGACATCTTTTCCCGAATGTAACCGAATAGAGTTGATATTCATCAAGTATCTCATCTCAAGTGGTCTCGTTGGACGATTGTCACACTTTCTCAACACGCTCCACCGTCCACGATTGATGGTTTTCCTGGGACTTCCCAATTAGTTGACAATGCACATGACACCGGTCACTATGGTACCAAACCATGCATTATATGTACATATACATATATGGACATATGCTCATATAATATATATATATATAGTTAAGTCTTATATACAATTATAGATACATGGAAGGGAATCAAAACAGGAGTTGTAAAGAATAAAATCCAGTTTTAATTCTTGAAGACAGGTACCACCTCATCTTTGGGAGTTAACTTTGGGTTTATGTGCGTGGTTTTATGTGCGTGGTGAACCAATCACCCAGAACTGAATGAGAATTAAATCTGGGTTTTATTCCTGTGTTATTTGCTGTGCGTATTACTGAAGCAGCAACTATTCATATGGTCCTTATGATGCTATTTGTTTCATAGAAAATTGTCATTCAATCAATGCAAACTAATTCGTGGATTTTTAAGTTACCGTGGATACACCTACAGGCTGCAAGATCCGTTGCATCATTTCTATGTCTTCGAATGTGTTTGCAGATGCAGGATTTAAATCTGGTTCTTATTCTGTGAGATTTGGATCAATATCCCAGAGTTTCCTTTCTCAAAGAATTAAATTCTGATTTAATTCCTCTCCAGACCCCGGTGCCTTCCAAGGGCTTTTCAAAGACCCGCTAAGAAGTGTCTACTGCGTCGAAATGTTTCTCCATTCTGGAAGTGATGACGTTTGCCCGAGTTATATAACAGCTGGACATCCATAAGTCTAAAAGACCCCCCCCTGGGTTCTTCAAAAGAAAAATAAATCTACCAAAAAGTTTCAGCATGCACCGCAAGCCCCCGGATCCCCTGTATCAATGTTGCTACCCATTGCTTCTCAATGACCGGAGCCAGAATGGCTGTTTTTTTCTTGAAGGCTCCGCCAAGCACTGCTTCACACAACATTGAACTTGGGTGCCAGGGGTGTCTACCTGTCCTTGCTAGGATTCAAGTTGGTTGGCTGCTTTCTTTTGAAGAACCCGGTAAGCCGGTAAGCCCACAGTCTTGCCACTTCATTGATCTTCATTGGTACCCGCACTGGCGTGGGAAACTGTTGTGTTGCCCACAAACGGCTGCAAGAAAACTTTGGGAATAAACTTTGGATTTAATTCCACTAGCTTCGGGTATGCGAAAACTTCACCCAAGTAACGAACAATTAAATCCTGAGATATTCCACAGGATGGCACCACTGCACATGAGGAATAAAACCTCCAGTTCAAACCGCTGTCCTGTCATCTGATGCAAAGAATTAAAATTACGGTAACTACTTTTAAATATACGGATTTTAAAATATACGAACAGGTATTTTAGACTAGCTCCGTGAAGGTTTTCCTTGGCTCCGTGAAGGTTTTCCTTGGCCCGCCCACATATATACGGATTCCAATTCATTTATACATACGGTAGCTACATTTAAATATACAACTGGTATTTATACTACCTCCTGGGCCTCGCGGTCTGGCCCGCCCTCCACATGTTTAAATTGCGTTACCGTAGGTTCAATAGACGGAAAGGGTCTATATGACCATGTTACATGATATCAAGAATTAAAACAGAAGTTAATTCTTTGTAACTCGTGTTTTAAGTAATTTTCTATATTATATACAATTATATATACATAAATCCTCAACCACAAGGTATTTTGGGCACTGTTCCGTTGGACAAAACATCGCAAGCAAGGCGCCGTCTTCCCAGTCCGCCCACTGGCAGGGCAGCCCAGTGTCCAACTCCTTGTCTTCTTCGGCCTGACGCAGCCCAGGGTGTGGTCAGCATCATGAGCTAAGGCCTAATGCCAATAAACCGTCCACAATTTGGGTTGCTTTAACCCAACAAGGATGGGAAACTGGGAACCCCGGGAACCCCCCAACTGTGGCCAAAAAGGGCTATCAGCAAATTTTGGATGGGAGCAATCCTGAAATTTGGGCGGAAAATATGGCCCGCTATGGCCTTACTTGACTTGGGATGATGGTGGGATGGGATGGTGCCAATGGCTTTTTGGGTTTAACAGAACACATGTGGCGGCTGAAGGGTACCTGACACGTTGTGAACCCTGAAGCATCCACTGGTTAATCATCAGACTTTCCCAAGCTGAAATTGCCATTGTGAAGCATCCCAGTTTCAAGGAAACCCATATACTTCTGGAATGCCAAATAAGAAATAGAACAGTAAGACAGTCTGCGATGTTGATGGTGATCATCTAATTTTCAATACATTGAGATACATCGACTAAAAGAGTAGTTAGTGAGGGAGATCACCACTGAAGGACCCCAAGCTTGGACGAATCCAACATGGCAATTCTGGGTAATCTCCGATCAATGGAATTTCTAGCTGGGAAATTTCTAGCTGGGAAACACATCTATAAAAGTGGGATTTTCATGGATTTTCATGGATTTTTCAGCCATGGTCGATCACCAGAAAAGGGTGCCACTTGGACCCCACAACGATCTGCTGCTCCTCATAGTCGGCCAAAATCTCTGCATCTTTGGCAGGGATCGGCTCGACTTCCACCTGAAAATCTGGTGAACAAAAAGAGGAATTCACAAGCAGAAATTGTTCAAGAATGTGGCACAATGGGGATATTCATAGGATATTAATGAGATATAATGAGATATTATATATAATGGGACATTAATTGGACTGTTCAAAAATTGGTTTTACCCTGATATAGTTGGTATTATCCCATTAATATCCCATTGATATCCCATAAAAATATCCTAATATTGTCCAGTTTTATATTAATGGGACATGAATTCATTGCACTATTCAAAAATCGGTTCACCAGTTGCCCTCTCCGGTAATCTCCAAGTTGCCAGGATTTGACCCATAGGTACTGCCAGGATATGTTGATGGGATTTAGTTGGAGGATCTCCCAGCTATAAACACATGGCTAGCTATGTACCGGATGTTCTTCAGCGAGCGCCGGCCATGTTTGATGACACCGGTTGAGATACCGATCGAAATTGCGAATTTTTTGGGAGGGAACATGATGTTTTCAATGACTCAAAACACCATGATCTTTTTCAGCACGGATTTTGGTGAAACCCCAACATGTTAAGAAAGTTACCCTCTGGTTATTTAACATAGCCATGGAAAATCACCATTTTTAATAGATAAACCATCTATAAATGGGCCATGTTCCATGGCTATGTTAAATAACAAGAGGGTACAAGAATCGAGGAAAGCATGGGGTCAACCATCAGAAATTGTAAAAAAAAAAACGAAAAAAGACTGGTCAGCTGGTTGTGCCAGTTGTGCCGCTTTTTTACTAGGGATTTCCCAGGCCCAGTTATAACTATAATGTTATAACTATAATGATAATTACCCAGGACAATTAACGTTAGCAACTGGTAATTATATAATGGTTATTTATAAAGTTAAAATGATAAGGATAATCAATGATTATCACCCGGTAAACCGAAATCCAAGACATCCAAAGTCTGCGCAAGCTCGCAGTTGCCCCTTGGGAGTCGGAATTGGCCCCAAACTCAACGGATTGCTTCAAGAGACAATTGCTGTTGACAACCATTGTTTTTTGACCTCAATTTGTTTTGTGGGTGTCCTGTATGTAAATGTTCCCCTCATCCAATTCTGTGAAGAACGGAATTTCAACACCTTGGCTGATTCAGTTTGGAGTTTGCGATTCACCCTCTCCTGATTTGGCTGATATAAACTAAACAATAAAAGTTTATGGATGTGGACACTCGCATGTGAACATACACATTATGTTCAAACAGCAATCACCAATAAACACGGTTAAGTCCTACCACTGGAACAACTGGCTTGTTATGGAAACAGACATCAAGGGATTCAACAAACCAAAATGGAGATGTGACAACAACATCATTGTGATATGTATAATTATCTATAGTTGTGTGTAACTATGTGTAAGTATGTAAATCATCTAAATTTATGTGTAGCTATGTATGACTAGGTATAACTGCGTATCACTATGTACAATAATGTATAATCACTGTGTGTATGTATGAATAAATATTTGTAAATATGTATGTATATATATATATATAAGTATACACACAACACACATGCATCTGTACATACACATTACACATACATAAAGATATACATAATCATTACATACAGATCATGACAGGTTACGCTTACCTGCCCTCAGCTCACCTCTTGAGCATTGGGATTCTCCAGAAGCGTCTCATCCCAAAGAACCTGCGAAGATCCCGAATTCAGTGGGGGAAAAGCAGTTGTCCACTATGTCTTAACTGTGCTTTTGGCAGTTTTTGGCTGGGAAAAAACAACATATATAATCATATATATATAATATAATAATAATAATTAATAATAATGATAATAATGATAATATTACTTATTATAATTATACAGGTACTGATTTCAACTATGTTCAGCCCGCATGAGCCATTGTCATGCCCACATAAAATGAGGTGCCCAAACGGACCACTATCAATAGGTCATATTGAAAAAACATAGGGAATCCACTTAAGTCGGCTGAGTTTGTTTTTTCTGGAGAATTGTATCGAAGTGTCTAAATCTCCAGCCGCTTCACCCGCTGACCTTCCTGTCACTATTCAGAAATCTGAGAATTGTTTTGCTCTTGTTGACTTCCACCATTGCGAAGCCATACTCCTCGGAGCAAGCGACAAAAATCCGGAGACTGAAACCTCGTAGGGGTATCGATACCCAGGTGTTTGGTACAAATCATGGCATGGGTCATGACTGATGTCCCCATTGAACATCACCCAACCATTAGGTATATGGTCTATAATGGCTACTATAAGGTGATGTCCAATATTCCCAAAATGGGACAGTTACCAACCCCTGTCATGGGATCTTCATGGGAAACAAAACAGATCCGTTTGAAAAGCCACCAACAAAACACCTGTGCCAAACTGCCACCAGAATCCATCAGCAGTTTGGTGTCAAAAAGTTTTGGTCGTTTTCAACACGTCGCCTGTTTTGGGTAGGTCACCCGCAAAAACGACCAAAACATCCCGAGGGGCGATCCATAGGGATTGATATAGTGCTGCATTCTCATCCAGGTACTGTACCCTTTGCTAAACTCACATAGCTATGAAATTAATCATACTGTTTAATAGGAACATCAACTATATGAATGATCATTTTTTCTATAGTTATCTTTGATGTTTACCAGAGGGTAATTACGATTAATGATCCATTTTTTTAAAGATCCCCTGCTATGCTTAGCAATGCAACTACCGTCTTAGCTCAAGCGGCTCTCCCACCGGAGTCGCGAATGGTGTTGGTCAAATGACCTGAGATCATCCAATCCATAGACCTACCATGTGGGGAAGGTTTAGACCGCCAACTTCCGGCAATATTAGTGGATGATTGGTCCAAAATGGTCCAAAATGCTCCAAAAATGAGAAGTGAATAGTGAAACATAGTGAAACTCATGGAGCAACTCTGCAAAAAATTGCTGACACAGGAGACAATTCCCTTCCCCGGAGTCTGCGTGGGAAATTCCTAGGATTCCATCATCGATTCGGCCAAGGTTTGTCTCAAAATGAGAAGCCCATGAAGCCCCATTTTCTGGCCTTACAATGGGTAGGTACAATGGGGTTTGAATCCTTAGGAATTTGATACACCATTTCCATCCATTTCCGATATATTTATACGATTATCCACATGTTATGGTCATTTGTTGGTTCTGTTTGTCAGTACATGTATCGTACATGGAGCAAGAAAAGATGGGTTTCTAAAAATTGAAGACCTCCGTTCTGTTCCTATTCAAAAAGAACCATTTTTATCCATTTTTTGGGATGATTTGGTGGTTCCCGACTTCAGAAACCACCATGGACCACCATGGACCACAGTCGACCCAAGGCACTTCCGCCGTTCCACTGATATCCTCCTCCAGCCCCGGTGATCACACAGTACCTCAGACGACTGCGCCGGGCTGAAAAGACAAAAAGGGGCACCGAAGGGCTGGGGCCATGTCCACCCAAATATGATGAATTTCAGCATATAACATATATATATATAAGATATTATGTATGTATATATATATATATATACACTATGCATATCATCCACATATGCCATATAATTGCTATAGTATTGACCTACATGTAGCTACACAAATTACCAATTGTGTCCAAATGTCGGAAGAAACTACAATGTTTGGATGGTGATGGTATTTGTCCACATCAAATGATTGCTTTCCCCGGGTCATATCCCATAGAAGTCCCATTCAAACAGTTGGTCATACCCTGAAATTCCCATCCATTGCTGGTATTTCGTATGAAAAATGACTTTTCCCAGGATCCTCCCAACAGGGTGCAGGATCCTAGGTACATCTAAGCTGCTGGGCCACTTCTTTGTTGTGGAAATCATCCCCAATCATCCAGCGGTTGAAACACCACCCCACTTGAAAAATCGGCATGCCCCCAATCATGGCAATTCAAGAAGACTAACATTATTTTATGATATGTTCCGCATTTTATCACGATTATATCATCACTGTTGTTGCTTTCTACTGTTTATACAATCATTTTTCCATGTTTCCTTGGTTACCCTCCTGTCCTTGGTAGTTCACAAAAAAAAAATGTTGCTGGTTGGCTGGTTATTTTTTCCATGTGTAATAAAACATTAAAGGATCAAACTATCCATTCAAATGTTATAGTGATTTTCCATGTGTTATAGCTATTTTCCATGTGTTATTGCATGGATGTCAGACACTCCAATTTGAAACGTGAAACAGCATGTTCAGTTGTGTAGGTTTCAGTCTTGCTGAGAAAGTCAGAGAAGATTAGCACAGCCACCTGCACAGGATGACACGCCAAATCGAGACGGCATAGCCGCTTTGTGGTTCAAAACAAGTTGCCAGGGCTGACCTGCGTGCAGGTTATGAGCCCAACCTGTCGTTAGCCGCTGCTGAGGAGCCATGATGATGCGCAGGAGAGCCAGTGGAAGTCCTGAAGCTGACCGATCAGGCGAAGAAAGGCCAGAAGAGGAGATGCTTGGGCCAACTGGGAGACCTGTGAGTTATGGACCTCAAAACCCTCAAATGTTGGAACTTGAAGATGAAAAGAAAGATGTAGAGAATGAAGAACCCAAAAAAAAGCTAGAGCCGCTGTTCACCGAAGAACAAGTGAGGCAGTTTGAAGAACTGCACAACAGAGCACCTCTGTTGTATGGAAGTCCACAGAGGACGCAGCTAGGAATAGAGGATGAAGCCAGGTCTTCAGGTTTAGCTTTGGAAGATGTGCAGTTGGAAAGACCGAAGTTTCTACCTGCAGAAAGACCTGCAGCGATGCCTGCTGGTACGCCCTCAGTGATTTATCAGCAGCAGATGATGCAGTACTTCTTCATGTTGCAGCAAGAGAACATGCAGCTGAAGATGGAACAGGAGTTGCTGAAAGAAAAGCTGAGGGAGAAGGAAGAAAGAAAGACCTCTGAGGTAGAGGTGCCAAATGGCGAAGGAGGAAGAAAGGCTAAGCCTGAAGTGGAAGGGTTTCAGACTCCTGAAAGCCAACAGCAAGGAAGCCGTGCAGCTGAAGACCGGGTTGTGAAGACAGAGAATGACTTGGAATCCGAGAGGAGAAGGCTGTACGAGTTGACACCGATGGAGCAATATGATGAATTGCAAAAGGTGATGGATGCTGCGGTGGGTTCAGTGAAGAAGCCACCTCCTGGACGAGACCTTCGAGGACCTTGGGAATCTCATCAACCTTCAGAAGGAGCACGACAGAAAGAAAGAGATGTTCCAAAGAAGGAAGCAGGTGAGAAAGGGACCGGAGGAGATGCCAGGAAGAACCAAGGAAATGCGTTGGAGCCAGCTGATGATGGAAGAATGCAAAGGCAGGTTGATGTCCTGTCTAAGATGATGTTGCACCTTCTGGAAAGTCAGCAAGGTAAAGATGATGGAGAAAAGATGGAAGCGGTCAAACCTGGAGTGAACAAGTTGCAGACCCTCCAGGAGCCGACCGAAACGGCCCCCATTGACTATGCCGACTGGTTGACCATGATAGAGCCGGTGATGACGGATCTGTCAGACAGTTCGCATGTTTGGTGGCGACTTGTGCTGGATGAATGCAGCGCATGGTACTCTGAGTATGTGAAGCTCCGACCACTTCAAAGAACAAGCTTTGAGATCGAGGCCTCTGAAGAACTGAAGAAGACGAAGTGGGTTCGAGTGGAACGCCGAGCTGTTTCCATGCTCATGGATGCCATACCCACTGGAGTGAGAGAAGAGCTTGTTGCTACCAAGTCACTTTCTCCAGTGAAGGTGATTGCCAAGTTGATGACCATCTACCAGCCTGGTGGACTACATGAACGAACTGTGATTCTGCGTCAGTTGGAGGATCCTGGCGAAGCAGGAAACGCAGTGACTGGAGTCCAAAGTCTTCGGAAGTGGTTGCGATGGTTGAGAAGAGCTCAGGATGTCGGGTTATGCTTACCCGATTCCACTATACTTTTGCGTGGTCTGACAAAGTTGATGAAGAAGCTGCTGAACAACAACCCAGAACTAGCTTTCAGAACCTCACTTGTCAGAAACACACTCCAATTGGATACAATTCCAAACCATCAAACTGTGAGGACGTACTCTGAACACCTACTGTCGGAACTGGAGCAACTGGTCCACTTGGAGAAAAGGTCAAAGGTGGCTAATGCAGAAAGAGCGACAGCTACAACCAGCCAGGTGAAGCAGTTGAACGCCGCAAGCAGTGGGAGCACAGAGGACAAGAATGTGAAAAAGAATGTGAAGGAATGCAAGTTCTTTCATCAGGAGGATGGTTGCAGACGTGGTGCAGCTTGCACTTGGGGACACAATGTAGAGCCAGGGGAGAAAAGGTGCTATGTGTGCGGATCCACCAAGCATTTTGCGAGGGAGTGTCCACGCAAGGACATTCAAAAAGACCCAAAGGTGCAGAAAGTGGAAAAGGAGGCTGAGGCCCCCAACAAAACCGCCAATAAGAGCCCTGCCCCTGCTGAGGCCCCAGCAGTGGCAACAAAGGAGGCTGAGACCACCAAAGGAGAAGTTGCTAGTGTTGGAGGAGACTCTCTGCGAAGCGTCATGGAAGAAGCTTCGAAGATGCTGAAGAGCATGGGAGTTGAAGAAAAGCCTACAAAGACCAGGGAAGAAATGACCAAAGGACGGATGCTGGAGCTACAGAAGGAGTTGCAACAGATTCAGGACGGATCGTGGAAGCCTAGAATCAATATGATGAAGACTGCCATGGTTGCCCGAGTCAAGTTCGGCAAGAAAGCGTTGCTGGATACTGGAGCCACTCACGCTCTGAGGTCCAAGAGGAGTGATGAGAACCTGGTTGAGGGCAAAGAGTACAAGAAAGTGAGAGTGAACCTTGCAGCTGGAGGTTCAAAGACAATGTGGATGACGGATGGAGGAACCCTGGTACATGAAGAACCAGGGATGGAACCGATACTACCAGTTGGTCGTCTAGTACGAGAACTGGGATGCAGCTTTGAGTGGAAAGATGATGAATGCTTTCTTTTCCACCCCATCAGGGGACAGATAGCAGTGGAGGTCGAAGAAGGATGTCCACAGATCACCCAGGCAGAAGCGGAAAAGATGGTGGATGAACTTGAAGGAATGATGTCGCTTCGAAGCATGAAAAAAGTGGCATACACTGGTAGGACAAAAGTTGCGCTTGTTGAGCTTCCCACAGTGAACATGGTTGGTTTCTTCTTCTGCACACCCTTTCCCCGTAGAAT